GATTTGCTTAAAATTTGGTACGTAAGTAGCTTTTTAGCATATATTAGCATATATGATCCATTTTTTCCGAGAAGTTAACCAGGGACCAATCTATTCGAAAAAGTCTTATTTACGGTCCGATTTGCTTAAAATTCGGTACGTAGGTAGCTTTTTTCCTGGATAAGCTTATAGATTCCTGTTTTCCAATTTTCATGCAATTTCGAATATAAATAGCTTTGAGCAACGACCATATCAAGGGGCGAAGATTTTTTTGCGCCAATCAGAAACAACGGATACTGTCAAAATATAATTATAATATATAATAAATCTTAATAATCTTAACTAATATATAGTTTTAAAGCCGTTTTTTAGTTTTCGCAATGCTCGAGAGCGGCTGAACCGATTTTTTTGAAACTGCCACCTGCCGCACGTGTCCCAAGGATGGTTTTAGGCTAAAAAAAATCTATATGTAAAGGGGGCGTGGCACTTCCCATACAAACGAATTTCTCATGCTACATATCTCTGAAAGTGTGCATGGTAGAGTTCTGGAACTTGGTATGGAGATATACGAAATCAATCGCATACCCTTGGAGAAAAATTTAAGCTATTGAAAAAGGGGTGTGGCATCTCCCATACAAACCGAATTTTTCATATTGCATATCTCTGGAAATTTTTTGGTAGAGTTCTGGAACTTTGTATGGAGATGCACGAAACAAATCGCATACTCTTGGAGAAAAATTGGAACTATTGGAAAAGGGGGGCGTGGCATCTTCCATACAAACCAAACTTTTTATATTGCATATCTCTGGAAGCGTTCATGGTATAGTTCTGGAACTTGGTACGGAGATATACGCAATCAACTCTTGAAGAAAAATTGCAACTATTGGAAAAGGGGGCGTGGCATCTTCCATACAAACCGAACTTTTCATACTGCCTATCTTTGGAAGTGTTCATGGTAGAGTTCTGGAACTTGGTATGGAGATATACGAAATCAATCGCATACTCATGAAGAAAGAGGCAGATGTTGGAAAGGGGGACGTGGCACCTCCCATATAAATCGAATTTTTATACTGAATACCTCTGAAAGTATGCATGGTACAGTACTGGAACTTCGTATGGAGATATGTATGTAGTTGAAATCAAGCCCATACTCATGGAGAAAATTTGGGATATTTGAAAAGGGGGTGTGAGGCCTACAAACGTACCGACCTTTAGCTATTTTTGAAAGTATTTTTTAATTCTTCTGTAGGTGTGTTTGTGAGTGAAATCCTCCTAAATGGTTGTACGGATTTTAACGAAACTTTTTGTGTGTTTGACTGGGTCTCTGGATGGTTTAGTTTCACAATTTAATCCGACAGTTGGCGCTGTATTTGAGTAATTACTAAAAATCTTATGTATGATCCGATTTGGCTAATATTTTAAATATGTATGCAATACTATTGCAAAAACGTGCTGCCAAGTGGTGCTGAAGTCAAGTTATTACTAAAAATAGCCAAGTGAGAAAAGTGGCCGTGAAGGTCAGATTAAATCGACCTGTTGCACCATAGGGTATATCGAACGCTCCTGCGTTGCGATTGCCCAACGGATGTGATTTTCCAATATTATTATGCGTTTTAAGGTATTTCGTCTGAAATAAGTA